AGTTTACATCATCTCATTGATTCTTCATACTTTGTATTAATCTGCATGGGCTGCCATAACAAAATACCATAGACTGGGTGGATTAAAAAACAAATTTATTTTCTCATAGTTCTTGAGGGTGAGAATCCCAGGTTAGGGTCCACTAGGGTCAGTTCCTGGTGAAGGCTCTCTTCTTGGCTTGCAGATGGCTGCCTTCTTGCTGTGTCCTCACATGGCTTTGTGTGTGAGAGAGAAGAGAGCAAGCTTTCTGGTGTCACTTCTTATAAGGACACTAATCCTATTGATCAGGACCCCACCCTTATGGCCTCATTTAACCTTAATTACTTCTGTAAAGGCCCTATCTCCAAATACAATCACACTGGGTGTTAGGGATTCAACGTACAAATTTGGGGACAGGCACAACACTTCAGTTCATAACATATATACTCTTTTATTTCCTGTAATTATAAATGAAGACACTTAGGCTAAGTGAGGTTAAGTAACTTGTCCAAGGTCATATAGCATGTAAATCGTCAGAGCTGAAATGATTTCAGAACTGACCCATGACAGAGCCCCAATAACTAAGAATTTTTAAAAAGTATGGCTACTAGTTCAATACAAAGCCCATAGATTAATATGTGATTACTAGGGTTATTTTCTTATTATGATTATCATCCCCATTTCAGGTGCAGAAAAAAGACCCCAAGGACTGGGCTGTGCAGTACCGCGAGGCAGTGGAGATGGAAGTCCAAGCTGCAGCTGTGGCTGTGGCTGAGGCTGAAGCCAGGGCTGAGGCAAGAGCCCAAATGGGGATTGGAGAGGAAGCTGTGGCTGGGCCCTGGAATTGGGATGACATGGATATCGACTGCCTAACAAGGGAAGAGTTAGGCGATGATGCTCAGGCCTGGAGCAGATTCTCATTTGAAATTGAGGCCAGAGCCCAAGAAAATGCAGATGCCAGCACCAGCGTCAACTTCAGCAGAGGAGCTGGTACCAGGGCTGGCTTCAGCGACGGTGCTAGTATTAGCTTCAATGGTGCACCCAGCTCCAGTGGTGGACCTGGCATTACCTTTGGTGGTGCACCCAGCTCCAGTGCCAGCTTCAGCAATACAGCCAGCATTAGCTTTGGTGGCACACTGAGCACTAGCTCCAGCTTCAGCAGTGCAGCCAGCATTAGCTTTGGTGGTGCACCCAGCACCAGCACTAGTTTCAGCAGTGAAGCCAGCATTAGCTTTGGTGGCACGCCTTGTACCAGTGCCAGCTTTAGTGGTGGAGTCAGCTCTAGTTTTAGTGGCCCACTCAACACCAGTGCCACTTTCAGTGGTGCAGCCAGCTCTGGCTTTGGAGGCACACTCAGCACCACGGCTGGCTTTAGTAGTGTACTCAGCACCAGCACCAGCTTTGGCAGTGCACCCACAACGAACACAGTCTTCAGTAGTGCGCTTAGCACCAGCACTGGCTTTGGAGGCACACTCAGCACCAGTGTCTGCTTTGGTGGCTCTCCCAGCTCCAGTGGTAGCTTTGGTGGTACACTCAGTACCAGTATCTGCTTTGGTGGCTCTCCCTGCACCAGCACTGGCTTTGGAGGCACACTCAGCACCAGTGTCTCCTTTGGTGGCCCTTCCAGCACCAGTGCCAATTGCGGTGGTACACTAAGTACCAGCATCTGCTTTGATGGCTCTCCCAGCGCCGGTGCTGGCTTTGGTGGTGCTCTCAACACCAGTGCCAGCTTTGGCAGTGCGCTCAACACCAGTGCTGGTTTTGGTGGTGCTATGAGCACCAGTGCTGACTTTGGCAGTACACTAAGCACCAGTGTCTGCTTTGGTGGCTCTCCTGGCACCAGTGTCAGCTTTGGCAGTGCGCTCAACACCAGTGCTGGTTTTGGTGGTGCTGTCAGCACCAGCACTGACTTTGGTGGTACACTAAGCACCAGCGTCTGTTTTGGTGGCTCTCCCAGCACCAGTGCTGGCTTTAGTGGTGCACTCAACACCAATGCCAGCTTTGGCTGTGCCATCAGCACCAGTGCCGGCTTCAGTGGTGCTGTCGGCACCAGTGCTGGCTTCAGTGGTGTACCCAGCACCAACCCTGGCTTTGGCGGTGCATTTAACACCAGTGCTGGCTTCGGTGGGGCACTTAGTACCACTACTGACTTCGGTGGTACTCCCAACAACAGCATTGGCTTTGGTGCTGCTCCCAGCACCAGTGTCAGCTTTGGTGGTGCTCATAGCACCAGCCTCTGTTTTGGTGGAGCTCCCAGCACCAGCCTCTGCTTTGGCAGTGCATCTAATACAAACCTATGCTTTGGTGGCCCTCCTAGCACCAGTGCCTGCTTTAGTGGTGCTACCAGCCCTAGTTTTGGTGATGGACCCAGCACCAGTACCGGTTTCAGCTTTGGCAACGGGTTAAGCACCAGTGCTGGATTTGGTGGTGGACTGAACACCAGTGCTGGCTTTGGTGGTGGCCTAGGCACCAGTGCTGGCTTCAGTGGTGATCTAAGCACCAGTTCTGGCTTTGATGGTGGGCTAGGTACCAGCGCTGGCTTCAGTGGAGGACCAGGCACCAGCACTGGCTTTGGTGGTGGACTGGGCACCAGCGCTGGCTTCAGTGGCGGACTGGGCACCGGTGCTGGCTTTGGTGGTGGACTGGTCACTAGTGATGGCTTTGGTGGTGGACTGGGCACCAATGCTAGTTTTGGCAGCACACTTGGCACCGGTGCTGGCTTTAGCGGTGGCCTCAGCACCAGCGATGGCTTTGGCAGTAGGCCTAATGCCAGCTTCGACAGAGGACTGAGTACCATCATTGGCTTTGGCAGTGGTTCCAACACCAGCACTGGCTTTATTGGCGAACCCAGCACCAGCACGGGCTTCCATAGTGGACCCAGTTCTATTGTTGGCTTCAGTGGTGGACCAAGCACTGGTGTTGGCTTCTGCAGTGGACCAAGCATCAGTGGCTTCAGCGGTGGACCGAGCACAGGAGCTGGCTTCGGCGGTGGACCAAACACTGGTGCTGGCTTTGGTGGTGGACCAAGCACCAGTGCTGGCTTCGGCAGTGGAGCCACCAGTCTTGGTGCCTGTGGCTTCTCCTATGGCTAGTGAGATTTCAGGTAACTGCAATATTTCCATAGCCAGGACCCACAGGGATGGGTATAAGAGCTGGGAGATGTTATAAGAAACACTAAGGCAGGAGAGCAGGGTGGAAAAGTGAGGGCAATGAAGGAATTATGAGAAGACAGTGCATTTGGTGCTAAAATGTGTTCCTATTTGTTTTGTTTTCAGATTTATTCCCCATGTTTACAGACACCGCTAATAAATTGCAGTAGTCCTTCCCATGGAGCCAAAGTACATCCTTGGAATCTTTGTCCACACAGCAGTCAAAGCACCTACGGCCAATCAGCTGAGGGTGTCATGTGATGGAAAAATCTGTTTGCTGTTCCTGCTTTATTGTTTGCTTTCTGTGTGCTGTCATATTTTGGTATCAGAGTTACATTAAATTTGCAAAATGAATTGGAGTTTTTTCTGTCTTTTAATGTGCTTAGGTAGTTGTGGAGTGGCATCTTGGGTTCACAGAAGAGCTGGAGATCAGCATAGCTCTTTGGAGAAAATGGGGCTCCAGCTTTTGGCTCAAAGGCAAATATGACTTCAGCAGGATAGAGGCCTGGGGAAAGCATGGCAGGCAAGAGGATAACAGCTTGAGGAAAGATATGGAGAGGGAAAGCCTGGAGCAGAAGGCAAAGGGAGAGGCTTCTGGACAGTAAGTACAGATTCATTTTGAATCACTGGTGTAAGAATGGAGGGAAGGGCAGAGGTCACTAGGGGTGGACATAAAAACAAGGGAGGGTTTAATTGGGATAGGAGAGGAAAACTTGGGCATATTGTATAGACTGTGGGGCAAAAGCTAATAGGGACAGGAGATCGATATGGAAGAGTCAGGAATTGACTGAAGTAGCCCATCCCTGAGAAGGTGGGATGGAATAGGGTACCAGAGAAGACGACCCTGACTTTGAACAGACTTAAGGGTGGCTGTGGATGCAGATAAATATAGATCTGCTTCAAGCAGGGATCGGCAACTTCTGTAGTAGACAACAACAACAAAAAACGGAGAGGTGGATTATGCAGGGTTTAGGTCTTGCTGGGTGGTTGTGATGGAAGAACAAGGGAACAAAGGCAGCAAGTGTATGAGTCTGTCTCTTTACCACTGGGTCACTGGTACCTGGCTTATGGTAGTTGCATGGAGAGTGGCTGAAGAGATGGCCCATAGTATCCAACATAGTTAGGGACAGAACACTAAGGATAGATTGGGGGACAATAGAGCATTCAAAGGACTCTGCTCCTGATGCTGTACAGCAACAAATATTGTTCATTCAAAAAATACTACAGGGCTGGGCACAGTGGCTCATGTCTGTAATCCCAGCACTTTGGGAGAGGCCAAGATGGGAGGATCACTTGAGCCCAGGAGTTCAAGACCAGCTTGGATAACATAGTGAGACCTCGTCTCTACAAAATAATTGAAAATTAGCTGGGCATGGTGGTGTGCACCTGTGGTCCCAGCTACTTGTGACAGAGGCTGGGGTGGGAGGATCGCATAAGCCCAGGAGTTCGGGGCTGCAGTGAGCTGAGATTGCACCGCTGCACTTCAGCCTGGGTGACAGAGTGAGACCCTGTCTCAAAAAAAAAAAAAAAAAAAAAAAAAAAAAACTGTATGGAGGCATACTGCTAGGGATTCAGTGGATGATATAGAGTTGTAAGGATTGGGGTAGTGGGTGGCCAGTGGTCAGACAGTTGGATGCTTGCATTTAAGAAGTCAGACCAGGGAGATGATACCAAAATCCATGGAGTAGGTAGTTGAAGGAGAGAAGATGAGTTGAGGGGGTCAGGGGACTGTGAGGCCAGAGTATTGGTTGGATCATTCACATAAACAGTGAAATCACTCAGGATGGCAGCAAGAGTTGGAGAAGAAAGGAACACTTGGCTCAAGTGCCAGATTCTTCTCTTGAGTGTAAGGATGAAAGTGTCATGCCCACAGCCACCTTGCTGGAACAAGGCCCACAGGAACTCACAGGCACCTATCTTCTCCCCCATCTTTGGAGGTGCTACTGTAGAACTTTTCCCTCCAGGAAATCCTTACCTGTTCCATGCCCTCATAGCAGCAGAGCTGGGTCAGGATTAGGATCAGTACCTTGAGAACAATTGGAAAAGCCTCGCCATGACCTCCTCCTCTCCTCTTGTAGGCAGTAAGTCTTTATTCGTCAGAGAATAGGAATTAAGAAAGAAAGTTTCATCCAGAGCTAGATAGCTCCTTAGTTGCGGCCAGTAAGTGAGGCTTGTTTGGGAGTTGCGGAGGACTTCTTCACTGGCGGTGGAGTACCTCAGTGAGGCCAAGGCAGAGTAGGAGAAGAGCAAGGATAGCATTTCCTAAAGGTGGAAGGCGATGAGGACACTTTCTTGGAAAGGGCTCAGTAGTGGGCAGGGACAGTATCCAGGGCTTCCTCAGGTTCCCGGGTGATGTCCACATTCTGAGGAGAGAGCACAGGATCAATAGGAAGGAGACAGCAGTGCAGGGCCCCAACCTCCCCCCTGCCTCTTGTCCTCATTGCCAGGCTCCCCTCTTTCAGCCAGGCTCAGATCCTGACCCTCAGGTAGGCCTGGGGGAATCTCAGCCTGAGGCTTTTTGGCAGGAATTGCCCCAGCCCTGTATCTCCATAGTGCCTTGGGTCTGGGCTGTGGTTTCCACATTTCTGGGTGCTGGTTGCTCCCTCTGTTGGTGCAAAACACGCAGGCTTCGTGGGGTTGGGGCAGCCTTTCTGTGGATAAGGTGCTTTCACCATGTGCTGTGTCCACAGCCAGCTTGGGCCATGGAGTCCCCCACCTACCTCAGGCTTCTCCCGGTGTGTGTTCACGGCTTCCACATTCAGGTAGATGGACTCCACTTTGCAGCCTTGGAAAAGAACAATCCATCTGTCCATAAGCCCCCAAGGTAGGCACAGGTCTTCCCTGAGGTATCACCTCCCCCGCATCACCAGCCACACCCCCAGCTTCATACTGTGTACAGATCATGACTCGCCTGTACAGAGGAGAATTTAGACAGCTGTGTGATGTGTGGGGAAGACACCAGGCCTAAGAGGCAGCCAACAGGGCATCCTGTCACCTCTGCCCCCAATAGTCTTAGTTCTGTGAGCTTCAGTTGCTCATTTGTAAATGGGGATGGAGATGAGAGATGAACTCTGGCTGCCCACAGCTCTCGAGGTCTGCAGGACAGCAGTCTCATCTGTGTAATATTGATGTAGCTCTGCGGATCCTCCAAGCCGTGTTAGGTGGTGAAGGGGTGGAAGAGTCCTGGGGCCACTGCCTTGGGCGATCAGTGCCAGGCAAAGTTTATCTGGAGGACAGTGTGGTTGTGGCAACACCAGGAGTATGGAAGGTCACGTGGGAGTTCTAGGGAACCTGAAGACGGAGGAGGGTGCATCACTGGGGCTTGGGGCTGACAGAGGGGGCCTAATGCCTGTGGAAGCTCCCTTAGCTTCATCCCTGTGGACTGCACCTTACTCCAGGCTTCAGTAGGTCATCTGCCCTGTTTGCACCCCAGAATAGATTTGATTCTGTCCCTCCCCTGTTCATGAACCTTTCACAGCTAATGTACCAAGAAAGAGCCTAAACTGCCCAGGCTGGTCTTTGTGCTCTTTCTCCAATACGGCCCTAACCTACAATTTTCCTCTGGTCCCCTTTGGGGAATCCCCCTTCCACAGCTTGGTGCTCTGTGCTGGGCGCTCTGGCAGAGACACAGAAAGTCAGCGCCATCCCCAGATTTAGAAGCCATCCTACTCTTTCCCTGTTATCCTACTACCATCAGTCCCACCCCCACCACCCACCCAGGGAACCTCCTGCAGGACACCCACCCAGGAAACCTCCTGCAGGACACCCACCCAGGAAACCTCCTGCAGGACACCCACCCAGGAAACCTCCTGCAGGA